ACCAAAATCTATGTGGAGCTCCAAATATTCAAAACTAAAATTTTTATTTTTTGAATTTACAATAATTATAAAGAATCCTCTTGAGCTTCTTCAAGCAGAAAAATAGAATTTTTATGGTTATAAACCTACTTTTACTTATATAATATATAGATAAAGATAGATAGATAGATTTAATAACAATTTATATTTTAGATATTTTTTAAAAATATAAATTATTTTTTTTAGATTTTTTATAAAAATAATTTAACAATCCTATCACTAACCATAGCGTATGAGAGAAGTTGAAAATGGTGTAACAGTAGGTATAAGAGAAGTAAAAAAGGTTTGTAAGTTAGGAGAAATCAATAAATGCTGATGTTTTAAGATTGAGATATTGAAACTCATACAAGGCTGGGTTAGAAATTTCATTTTCTTTATATTATATATAAAATGTTGATAAATAAAGAAGAAAAAGTAATGCATTAGGGGTGTAAATTTGGCCCGGCTTGGCCTTGCCCATGTTAGGTCTCGCAGGCTCTTGCCAAAATTCGGGTCAGCCCATGGGCCAGAAAATTAGGCCTAGTTCCAAGAGATATTTGGGCCTTGAACAGGCTGGTGGGCTTGGGCTCGGCCTTGGGATAGGTTTGAACAAATTTTTTTTTTGTTTTTTTATTTTTTCTACCAAAATTTTATTATTTTCTACTAAAAAAGATACTAGGCCTTTGGACGGGCCGGGCCTCGAATCGGGCCTTGAGTGGGTTTTAAACGGGCCAATGGGCCGGGCCAAGCAGGCTGAACCCACAAGCCGAGCTTCAAAATGATGGCCCAGGCCCTGGCCCAGGGTCTTAGACTAGGCTCTGACTCGGACCCAAACGGACCTAAACAAGCCGGACCCATCCCAAACCGTGGATTGGTTTTGAGCCGCTCACAGACCACGAGTCATTTTTATACTCATTCACCCTTTATCAATGAGAAGGTTGTAGTTTTACAGGGTTTGGCAAATGCTTTTTTTAGTAATTTTCTAATATGTAATAATAAATGTTAATAAAGAAATGAGTGAAAATTTGATTTTATTTTCAGTTTCAACAATGACTGATTAACTGAAAAAAATAAATAAATAAAAAATTTTCCCAATCAACTTTTCTCATTAACACAAAAATAAACATATATTTTTTTTTCTCAAAATTAAAAAAAAAAATGGTAAAACAATCATTTGTCAAACCCCTCATGAAATTGTCAAAATGTGACGATTTCAACCAGAAACAAGAGAGGAGACTTTTCACTAGGAAACATTTCCAAGTGACCAAAATGATGCAAATTAATTTTTGAAAAATTAAAATAAAATTTCCAAGCGACCAAAAAAATAATTCAAAAAATGAATCAAAAAAAATAAAAATACATTGCATATACCTCGGCTACCCTATGAGAAGCCGCAGCAGGAAAGAGATAAGCCATGCCGATGATGTTTATCAACTCTCCAAAAAAAATGAAGAAAACCGGCACCGAAGCGCCGTGAATACACACTCCGATCGATCCAACAATCATCAGAAAGAAATCAAAAGCGTTTGCGAATACGGATAGTTTCATCAATGGCACTTTTTGGGGCTTCTTTCCTTCTCCCTCTCTTGTTTTTACATTGTTTTCGGCTTCGCCGTCACCGGAAAGGGGACTTTGGACACTCATTTTGGGCTTGACCTGTGATATAGAAAGTGGTTTTTGATGGGTTGGGGAGAGAGAGAGAGAGAGAGAGAGGGAGGAGATAATGAGAGAGTTAGAAGGTTGAAGGTAGTGAAGTGGTTGGATGGCTCATTAAGTGTGAAGCTAACGTGGGAACAATATATATAGTTCAGAACTAGGTATACAGACTCAGAAAAATACTTAGAATTGACAATTTAACGACTCAGATTGATACCGACAACAAATATTTTCGCTATGCATCATTAATAATAACTTTTTTGATATATTTTTTATTTTCCTCCTATAGTCGAGAGTGTTAGGGCGTGGTGGTTTGCTGTGAGAAGTGGTTAAGAGTTATGATGTATGTATGACTACATGTCATGCAGGGCCGGCCCTGATATTTGTGGGGCTTAAGGCGTATTGTGAAAATGGGATCCCTCTAATATATTTTTTTTAATAAAAAATTTATGCATAAAATGATAAGTATCCACAAATTTTTTATTTAAGTATATTTGAACATATAATCATTAAAATTATAAATTAAAATTTACTTTCATATATAATAAGATAGGAAGAAATCAGTACAATGACTCAAAAATATTAAAAATTGATTTTGTTACTTTATAGTTTAATAATATCCAGCTTACAATTAACCCAACGATCACTTAAATACTACTCTTCTTGCATTTTTAGTTGCAAAATCACTAATTAAGTTTGTATAATCTAATTTATCTACCAAATCCTTTTCAATAAACAATATAGCTAATTCATTCAATCTTTCTTGTGACATTGTTGATCGAAGGTAGGATTTGATCAATTTTAACTTTGAAAAACTTCTTTCTCCAGAGGCAACGGTAACTGGAATAGTCAATAATATCTATACGCAATCCAGGCATTTGGAAAACAATCATCCATCAATTTCAAATAATTCATCATCTCAATTGGCCTATTGATTTCTTTTGGCAAAATTTCTTTGAAGACTTTCAACTTAGAAAATAAATCTCTCTCATCAACATCCATAAGCCCATCATGTTTCAAAAAGTCTTCAAGATTAGCACAATAAGTCTTCAAGCACTCATCATTGGTAGAATTTAACTTCTTCAAATCAAACAAAAATCCAAAAGTTTCATCATATATTTGAAATTGTTCAAATCTACTCTTAAGTGAAGAAAGAGATTGACCTATTATATATATGAAATAATTAACTCTAAAGGATTCTTCAGCTGATTGTGCAACCTCTTCACTAACATTCTCATCAAAATGTTTCTTTCTACGAATGACACGCCTTTCACGAAATGTAGGCTCAATCTCCATTTCAATTGCAACACTTTCAATGCGACTTTCCCAACGAGTTTGTGATAATGGCTTAAGTGTGAGACCTTCCACATTGTCTTTGAAAATTTTCCACCTTTTTGTAGAAGATGAAAACAACACATATATGCGTTGTATCACTCTAAAGAAATAGATAGCTTTGAAACAAGAGGTAGCCATATCACAAAGGGCAAGATTAAGACTATGACACCCACATGGCGTGTAGAATGCTCTTGGATTTATTTCAAGTATTCTTTTTTGTACACCTTTGTGTCTTCCTTTCATATTAGAGCCATTATCATATCCTTGTCCTCTTCTATCACCAATATCAAGCTGGAATGTGTGCAATGCCTCTCTAAGTACATTAAAAAGTCCCAACCCCGATGTATCATCCACTTTCAAAAATTCTAAAAAGAATTCTTCTACCTTTACCGGACTAGTTGAAATATTTACACATCTTATCACAAGAGACATTGGTTCTTCATGACTAACATCTGGAGTACAATCAAGAATAATTGAAAAATATTTCGCTTCTTTGATTCTTGCCACAATCGTACTTTTGATCTCACTCGTTAACATCTATATCAATTCATTTTGGATTTTGTGGCCAAGATAATGGTAATGAATTTCACTCCTTTGAATACGTTGAATGTGCTCTTGCATTACTGGATCAAATTTAGCAAGCATTTCAATTAAGCTTAAAAAGATTCCATTTCTTTCTTGATAAATCTTCTCATTGTCTCCACGAAAAGCTAAATTATTTTTAGCAATAGTGATCACAATAGAAATTATCCTTAGTAACACTTGTCTCCAGTGTTCCCTCTCTTTGTTGATTTGTTCTTGAACACTTCTATCAATTGTTTCATTCTTCTTCAATCTACTTTCCAACTCAACCCATTTGCTCATGCAAATAAAGTGCTCATTACTAGTTTCATGACTTCTAAGCCTGTTGCCCATATTCTTCCAATCTTTCAATCCATCAGTAGCCAAATGAACATTGTTCCCATCTTGCTTAAACAACTTGCAACAAAAGCAAAACACTTTGTCTGAAGCATCTGAATATACTAGCCACTTTCTATCCTGCTTCTCTCCATTTTGTAACTGTCGCATGTAAAATGTAGAAGAAAAATGCCTATCTTTGTCATCTAGGGGAAAATTCACACCATTACCTCTTATGGGACCTCTTTCAACTAGTAAATCCCTTAAATTTTGATCAATCTTGTCCCAATTACTAGGGTCATAAATGTTTAGAGGTCCACATTCAACATTCACATCTTCACTTTCATTAGATTCTACGTTCCCCAAATCTTCATTCTCATTCTCATTCATATGTTCACTAGGGTTGTTCAATCACCAAATCATCATGCTCATTATTACTCACACAATGAGTAGGCTCTTCAATTACCAAATCTTCATCATCATTGTCATTTGAACCCAAAATATCTACTTGTTTCTTGGTACCAAAATATTTATCAAGTGCTCCCGATTGAGATTGAATTAATTGTTCTACTTTCATCCTCTTCATTCTCTTTTCATTTTCAGAACTATACTTCCGAGGAAACAAGGCTATAATCACAAATACTTCAATCCACAAATCACAAACACTTCAATCCACAAATCACAAAATAAAAAAAGTATTAAGAGAAATATTTAAGATTATTAAAATTTTTAATTTATAATTTTATTACTTGTATTTTTATATTTTTTAATAAAAAAAGTATTAAGAGAAATATTTAAGATTATTAAAATTTTTAATTTATAATTTTATTACTTGTATTTTTATATTTTTTAATAAAAAAAGTATTAAGAGAAATATTTAAGATTATTAAAATTTTTAATTTATAATTTTATTACTTGTATTTTTATATTTTTTAATAAAAAAAGTATTAAGAGAAATATTTAAGATTATTAAAATTTTTAATTTATAATTTTATTACTTGTATTTTTATATTTTTTAATAAAAAAAGTATTAAGAGAAATATTTAAGATTATTAAAATTTTTAATTTATAATTTTATTACTTGTATTTTTATATTTTTTAATAAAAAAAGTATTAAGAGAAATATTTAAGATTATTAAAATTTTTAATTTATAATTTTATTACTTGTATTTTTATATTTTTTAATAAAAAAAGTATTAAGAGAAATATTTAAGATTATTAAAATTTTTAATTTATAATTTTATTACTTGTATTTTTATATTTTTTAATAAAAAAAGTATTAAGAGAAATATTTAAGATTATTAAAATTTTTAATTTATAATTTTATTACTTGTATTTTTATATTTTTTAATAAAAAAAGTATTAAGAGAAATATTTAAGATTATTAAAATTTTTAATTTATAATTTTATTACTTGTATTTTTATATTTTTTAATAAAAAAAGTATTAAGAGAAATATTTAAGATTATTAAAATTTTTAATTTATAATTTTATTACTTGTATTTTTATATTTTTTAATAAAAAAAGTATTAAGAGAAATATTTAAGATTATTAAAATTTTTAATTTATAATTTTATTACTTGTATTTTTATATTTTTTAATAAAAAAAGTATTAAGAGAAATATTTAAGATTATTAAAATTTTTAATTTATAATTTTATTACTTGTATTTTTATATTTTTTAATAAAAAAAGTATTAAGAGAAATATTTAAGATTATTAAAATTTTTAATTTATAATTTTATTACTTGTATTTTTATATTTTTTAATAAAAAAAGTATTAAGAGAAATATTTAAGATTATTAAAATTTTTAATTTATAATTTTATTACTTGTATTTTTATATTTTTTAATAAAAAAAGTATTAAGAGAAATATTTAAGATTATTAAAATTTTTAATTTATAATTTTATTACTTGTATTTTTATATTTTTTAATAAAAAAAGTATTAAGAGAAATATTTAAGATTATTAAAATTTTTAATTTATAATTTTATTACTTGTATTTTTATATTTTTTAATAAAAAAAGTATTAAGAGAAATATTTAAGATTATTAAAATTTTTAATTTATAATTTTATTACTTGTATTTTTATATTTTTTAATAAAAAAAGTATTAAGAGAAATATTTAAGATTATTAAAATTTTTAATTTATAATTTTATTACTTGTATTTTTATATTTTTTAATAAAAAAAGTATTAAGAGAAATATTTAAGATTATTAAAATTTTTAATTTATAATTTTATTACTTGTATTTTTATATTTTTTAATAAAAAAAGTATTAAGAGAAATATTTAAGATTATTAAAATTTTTAATTTATAATTTTATTACTTGTATTTTTATATTTTTTAATAAAAAAAGTATTAAGAGAAATATTTAAGATTATTAAAATTTTTAATTTATAATTTTATTACTTGTATTTTTATATTTTTTAATAAAAAAAGTATTAAGAGAAATATTTAAGATTATTAAAATTTTTAATTTATAATTTTATTACTTGTATTTTTATATTTTTTAATAAAAAAAGTATTAAGAGAAATATTTAAGATTATTAAAATTTTTAATTTATAATTTTATTACTTGTATTTTTATATTTTTTAATAAAAAAAGTATTAAGAGAAATATTTAAGATTATTAAAATTTTTAATTTATAATTTTATTACTTGTATTTTTATATTTTTTAATAAAAAAAGTATTAAGAGAAATATTTAAGATTATTAAAATTTTTAATTTATAATTTTATTACTTGTATTTTTATATTTTTTAATAAAAAAAGTATTAAGAGAAATATTTAAGATTATTAAAATTTTTAATTTATAATTTTATTACTTGTATTTTTATATTTTTTAATAAAAAAAGTATTAAGAGAAATATTTAAGATTATTAAAATTTTTAATTTATAATTTTATTACTTGTATTTTTATATTTTTTAATAAAAAAAGTATTAAGAGAAATATTTAAGATTATTAAAATTTTTAATTTATAATTTTATTACTTGTATTTTTATATTTTTTAATAAAAAAAGTATTAAGAGAAATATTTAAGATTATTAAAATTTTTAATTTATAATTTTATTACTTGTATTTTTATATTTTTTAATAAAAAAAGTATTAAGAGAAATATTTAAGATTATTAAAATTTTTAATTTATAATTTTATTACTTGTATTTTTATATTTTTTAATAAAAAAAGTATTAAGAGAAATATTTAAGATTATTAAAATTTTTAATTTATAATTTTATTACTTGTATTTTTATATTTTTTAATAAAAAAAGTATTAAGAGAAATATTTAAGATTATTAAAATTTTTAATTTATAATTTTATTACTTGTATTTTTATATTTTTTAATAAAAAAAGTATTAAGAGAAATATTTAAGATTATTAAAATTTTTAATTTATAATTTTATTACTTGTATTTTTATATTTTTTAATAAAAAAAGTATTAAGAGAAATATTTAAGATTATTAAAATTTTTAATTTATAATTTTATTACTTGTATTTTTATATTTTTTAATAAAAAAAGTATTAAGAGAAATATTTAAGATTATTAAAATTTTTAATTTATAATTTTATTACTTGTATTTTTATATTTTTTAATAAAAAAAGTATTAAGAGAAATATTTAAGATTATTAAAATTTTTAATTTATAATTTTATTACTTGTATTTTTATATTTTTTAATAAAAAAAGTATTAAGAGAAATATTTAAGATTATTAAAATTTTTAATTTATAATTTTATTACTTGTATTTTTATATTTTTTAATAAAAAAAGTATTAAGAGAAATATTTAAGATTATTAAAATTTTTAATTTATAATTTTATTACTTGTATTTTTATATTTTTTAATAAAAAAAGTATTAAGAGAAATATTTAAGATTATTAAAATTTTTAATTTATAATTTTATTACTTGTATTTTTATATTTTTTAATAAAAAAAGTATTAAGAGAAATATTTAAGATTATTAAAATTTTTAATTTATAATTTTATTACTTATATTTTTATATTTTTTAATAAAAAAAGTATTAAGAGAAATATTTAAGATTATTAAATTTTTTAATTTATAATTTTATTACTTATATTTTTATATTTTTTAATAAAAAAAGTATTAAGAGAAATATTTAAGATTATTAAAATTTTTAATTTATAATTTTATTACTTGTATTTTTATATTTTTTAATAAAAAAAGTATTAAGAGAAATATTTAAGATTATTAAAATTTTTAATTTATAATTTTATTACTTATATTTTTATTTAAATATAATTTTAATATATTTATGACGTCACGGTTCGATTCCGGTTCAACCCGACGGTTGAACCGGTGACCCGTCCACCCGATCATTTTTCCAGTTCATTCACCGGTCCGGTTTTTAAAACATTGAAAAATTGGCTTTTAGCTTTTTATTAAGCTTTTTGACTTTTTTAGAAAGTGATTTGGGAAGTTGGTAAAAAGCTACTTTTGAATTTTTTGATAATATTTATTTATGATATCATATTACAATAAAATGACCAAACTACCCTCACCTAATTAAAAAAATTTACAATTTCACTTGTGGCTTATTTTGATCCATGAAGGGTATAGTTGTAATTTCACAAGTAATTTTTTTTTTCTCCCCAAATGGTTTTAATGGTAAAAAGGCATTTTGGCTTTTTTGGGAAGAGCTGCAAAACGCAACTTTTTTGGCAAGTTGTCAAAACGACACAATGAGATGTTTTGGAAAGATAGTAAAAAGTTAGCTTTTAACTTTTTACCAAGTTTTTTGACTTTTTTAGAAAGTGATTTGGGAAGTTAGTAAAAAACTGTTTTTGACTTTTTTTATTAATATTTATTTATGATATCACATCACAATAAAATGATCAAATTATCCCCACCTAATTTAAAAAATTTACAATTTTACCTATGTCTTATTTTGATCCATAAAAGGTATAGTTGTAATTTCACAAGTAACTTTCTTTTACCTCTCGAAATGATTTTAATGGTAAAAAGTCATTTTGACTTTTTTGGGAAAAGCTGCAAAACACAGCTTTTTTGGCAAGTTGCCAAAACGACACCGATTGAATTGTAATTTCCCTTCATATTTTTCCCTTTTTATAGGATAGACTTCTTTCTAGTCCAGTCGTAAACTAGATAGTGTTAGATAAGGTTAAGAGCCTATCGTAAGTCTCATTTTAATGATTTGTTCTATTTTTTTTTTTAATCTTTTATGAAGCCTATCATAGGTCTCATTTTTTTTAGTCTAGTATTGACAGTGCTGGATAAGGTTGTGGAGCCTATGACAGACTTCTTTTTTAATCTTTTTTTTTTTTCTTTTTTTTTTTTTGTTTCCTAATTTTTTATGTGTAAAAAAGAGACCAATATGATAATTATAGCCTAACGATTGCATCATCTTTATTATA